TGAGAGGAAGTGCGAGCTCGACTTTTAGTCGAGGTTGCAACTTCACTCCCAAAACACCAAGGAAAACCGTTAAAAAAGGCGTGGCGTCCTGCCCGGCGGCAGCGCGGGAAAAGGCAAGGGCGGCTCGGCTCGAGACCAAGAAAACACTTGCCAATCCACCACGAAGCAGCCCCGAACAAAGAGCAGCACTGAAAAAGCACACGCAACTTCCTACACACGCCCCTAGTCACCAAATACTCGGATAATCAGGATAAAATGCACGAGGCACCAATGGCGGCAATGGCGTCCCTTTTCGCCTCTGGCAGCCAGCGGCCAGCGGCCCTACTCCTCCTCCTCCTCCTCCCTTTAACCGCTGCCACCACTGTTATAATGCGCGGTAATGGGTAAGGAGGCTAAGAGAAAGAGCAGGGTTAACTGGCACACTACAGGGTTTATTTAAACCAACACAGGGCAACACAAAGCACAAGGCACGCAAGACACAACGAACACACGTCAGAACTCCTCAACCGCCAACACTAGAGTGACGCCGTGTCGCCCAAGCGGCGCGGTGCGCCGCGCGCAGCCGGGCCGTGGCGACGCGCGCCGGTCGGCCGGTGCCGACCGGGTTCTCTCGGCTGCCGCGCGGGGCGCTGCCTCCGCACCGCGGATGGCGCGCCAAACACAACTAATACTGACACACACGCACGCACACACACATTCTCACATCACAACAATATTTTAAATTAAGAACATGACAATTCAAACAGTTACCAGCTATATGTACGCCAGACCACGTCTCGCGTAACAGGCTTCGCGACATCTCACGAAACACTGTTACACTGCGACGCGCCTGGCGCACATCGACGCGTCCGTGCAACAATATCCTATCTGTTTCGCTGCCCCGAAAGCCTAGCCTATCTGTTTCGCTGCCCCAAAAGACTAGCCTATGAGTTATGAAGAGGGTATGGGGGAACAGGGCCTTCCACGCCCAAAATTTGATATACTGGAACCATTTGTCGGGGTCTTATTACTCTAAAATTAGGGACATGAAACTTCTGCTGTTCGGTAACGGTTTTCATTAAAAGTTCGAATTTTGACAGATTGTCATGTACAAATCAGCGTTTTAGTGATACTAGATAATCTAGGGACCCTTAAGCCCAAAAGAGGGTGTGGTTCGACCCGTAATGTGTGGTTTAAGTATCACTCTCTTTACAATTCTGTGACATGAAGCCTTTTTTAGGATTTAATGGACCATTATGTCATTTTCACGTTGTTTTCGCCAAGAAATGCCGCGTAGCGCCGAAACGGTACAAGATAGAGTAAAACGGACGAAATTTTCGACCGTTGGATTCTACTCTCACGAGTTACCCCTTAGGAAACCAATAACAATATTCGGTAAAAAATACATTTTGCGACCTGTGGGTTTTGGATTTTTTTTTAAAGTCAATTTTCGAGATCGAATGCTCGTCTTCGAACTCGACGTGTCTTTTTATGATACAAAACGACCATAAAATTCCCAGATCGCTATCTTAATAGGGTGTTCCAGGGCATCTAAAACGAAAGTATGAAAAGAACAAACTCACTAACTTTTCTGTTTCCGTTATGGCTCCGATCGGTCGATCTAATCAGAGCTCTACGACGTTACGTCCAATGCCTATTCGTTCCCGACTGTTTGTCCTCTAACCATATGTTCCCTTTTACAATATCCTATATTCCTATGTCCGAAATTTTGTGTCCAATATTTTATGTCCAGTTTGTCCACATTTTATTTATTCCACACATCACATCTTTGTTATTTCTCATTCTTCTTTGTCGCTGTCTCCTGGAAGAACAGCTGTGTTGTCTTTTAGGCGGTACGAGATGCCCCTCAGGTACCTGCTCAGGCGCTCGTCCCTGATATACAGCCATCGGCTCAATCATGCCGTGGTTCCGCTTCTGGATGGCTGGCAGCGGATCTTTGATCCCGTGGCCGCCTGAAATCACCAAGTATCAAAACATAAAACACTAGATATACGCTGGAAATTCGCGAACAAATCTTTTGCCCTCACTTACCAAGAAGCTGATTCCGCTTGAGCTCCTGGTCGTGCTGCTCTTTCTGCAACTCCCCGTGTGAAAATAGTAGGCTGAACGCGGTTCGATCTGCGCCTGAAAATTAAGACACCGTTTAGACCACAGTCAGTCCCCATTCAGACGCCGTTCAGACGGTAATCAGTCCGGAATCAGTCCTCGGATGATGCGCGCAGGAGTCCGAAGGTGATCTGATCCGTTTCTGAATGGAGACTGAAAACGGACTGAACCAGGTTTGAAAAAGAGCCTCTATTCAGCCCTGGATCAGACAGTGTTCAGTCGTCGGGCTGCCGCCTCTCCGGGGGCTGGCGGTATGAGGTATAACGAGGCGCGCGGTCGCGCAGCGGCCACTGCCGGCTGAACGCCGTCTGAATCCGTTCAGACCGCCTCGAGGCCGGGGCCGCACCCCGAGCCGCGACGCGCGCTGTGTTGCCTACCGCCACGGCGCCCCGCACCGAGCCGCGCGGCGGGTTGCCTACCCGGGCCCTCCGCCGGCGCTCGCCCGGGCAGGGCCTCGCCCCGCCTGCTCCACTTTACTGGTAAAGTCGCTCATTGGGTTTAAACCGTTCGTACGCGTAGAGCACAGTGCAGGGGTCAGGGGAATGAAAATAGATAAAAGTCCTCAGTCTTGTGTAGCAACAGTTTGTGTAATTGATAACAAACAGAACATAACTGTTCGTGAAATTAATGAAAAGTAATTGAGTACGAGATTTACCCATAGAATAAGAGAAAAATTAACGGTGGTGAATACATAAACAAGCAGGCCCGCCCTTCCGCCAAACGAAGTCGCCAGCTTCGCTTCGCTGCGCTGGCAACTCCGTTCGGCAGGGGCCGGGCCTGCTTGGCCTGCCGGCGGCGATGGTCGGGCCTGCGGCCCGACCATTTCTGTCACGCGATTTGCTGTGGAACATAATCGAATGATGTAACGGGCCTTCGGCCCGCAAAGCCCGTTGTCCTTAAAATTTGCCCCGTAGACACGAGAAAGGGATTTAACGATGAAGCACCGCGACTACAACCCACCCCTCTGCTTAGAAAACGTTTTTTGGGGTGGGGGGAGGGAGTTTCTTACCTCTTTTGAGGTTTTGCCTTCTTTTACATTTAATTGTTCACTACAGCAATTTTTAACTTATTTTCGTCAAACAAGACCCTCTAGCGCCTAAACGGTTAGAGATAGAGCCAAACGGACGAAATTTTCGCCCAAAGGGCTCTACTTTGACAACCCGCATGAAAAGGTTGGTCTAAACCGCGTCTGAAAGCGGTCCGAGCGCTCGGACACAATTCTTCCGATGTTTGCACTCTGAAGCATTCGAGTTTCAGCCAACTTTCAGACGGTTTTTCCGTCCGATTTTTC